TCTGTATTCTATATTAACTGGAGTTCCATATTATATAGGTATAGGTGTAAATAATTATCAAAATGTATATAGGTAATAGTACCTAATCGTTCAGCCTGCTGAGATAGTAAGTATACGTATGCTTAACAGGTCCGAATAAAACCAGCGAGTAGCTGAGTTAGATWCGGTGTACCATATTTTGATAGATTTTGTATTCAACTTACATCTTCTAATTCAATTTAACGGGTTTTGTACTTCTACGGGTTATCGCGTCCCGAACTGGCCGAACTTGTCTCGTTCTATCACTTATACTCCATGTAATGCTCTATATTATACTTAATTATTATCTATATTATCTATATTATACTTAAGCAATAATTATTGCTACTCTTGCTGCAGATCATCGCTGAAGTAATTCGATTAATATTCATACATTATTATATTGACGTATTTTATTCCAATATACGTTAAACGTATACTCGGTATAGCTATACTAAGTGTCTAATAAGTTCTCTAGTCCTGCAATATTATTGATATCAAAATTCTTCTGCGTATTTCCTTGTTTGGTATTAATCTGTCTCTGATATAGTGATATCGCCATACTTGCAGAGATATACAATGTATTAATAGTTTCCAATATTACCATAAACTACGTAATATATAGCTTATATAGTATAGTCCAGAGGTATTCAAACTGTGCAGCGTCGCGAGAGTTTGCAAAGGGAGCCACATCAAAGCACCGAAAACGGCGAAAACCAACATCATACCTAGGTCTTGTATAATTATTAAAAATATTATTTGCAATCATTATGGAAATGAAAACGACACACTTTACGATTYRACCATTTGAAGTCTTATTTCTAGTCACTGTTATTATYACCCATATAGCATATTTCCCATATTGTATCCGTGTGYTGWTTCAATTTTTTCATAATAATTTGGGAGCCKTAAAAATATTGTGACCACCCAAAGGAGCCACGTGCTGAAAAAGTTTGAATACCTCTGGTATAGTCGTAATTTTAAAAAAATAGTGCAAAAACGTTGTAATCGGCCGGGGAGTGACCACGGCCGTTTATGACCTGTTGATTAAAGCGATTAGTTTCACGTAGAACGGATTAAATAGCAATTTTTTTCGAATACTTACTAAAAAGTGTGAAAAAGAGATGTTGGCCCACAAATCTAAATCTTCAACGGCACTACGCATCTTACTACAGTTGGCTTCAGAGGGTTTAGGTTTCGGAAACCTTATTTAGTATCAACACGCATCTTTCGATCGACGACGCCATTGGACGTAGGTACAGGTGTTTTAGCTATTTTTCGAATATTTAAACACACAACTTGTTTGTTCTCGTGGAAACGATTGAAAAAAAAAAGATTAACTGCTGTGATATTTGTCTATCCGGGATCATACAGTAAACTATCGATTGTTCGCGGAATAGGGTGTAATGGCAACTGCACATGTTAGTCAATTCCACGGTTAATCCAAAAAATAMCAATTGCAGAAACAAAATGTTAGTATTTATATTMTTAAAAAAATTATAATATGTTATGGGTATTAAATAGTATTTAAAGAAAATTAAATAAATACCCAAATTTTTATTCGAACATTTATATAGTTATTACTTATTACTAATTCCTTTTTTTTTATTCAAGAAATCCACAAATGATTATTTTCCATCTATATATTTAATTCAACAGTTGTATAAGTTAATATATTTATCTTAATTTATTCTTATTGGCTTTTTGTTTTTTTTTCTCTTTTACTTTATATATTCTTAAATCTTAATGAATTATCCAATATCAGAGTCTTTACAGTACTTATATTTATATTTTATATAGTAAATAATATGTTTACTATAATATAAACCGAAAACCCATAACATTCAACAGAATCGTTTTTAATATAAAATGATTTATGTTTGAATTAAAATCCAACACGTGCATTACTTACAGTGGCATATTATACACAATAAAAAAATACTACAGGAACAGTATTTAAAAAAATATTTGAGCAATTTACAAATCACAATTTATGGTATAATATGGTAGTACCTGTCATCTGTATGCATAGTATGTACCTATAGTCGTAAACACTTAAATGTTCGACGCAAAAAATCTAGTAATAAARTATAGCAGTAAAGCTACTATAGTTACCTATAAAGTGTTTTAACTTTCATAGATAAAGAACTTTCTTTTACGACTGCTCGGTCTGACCATTTAAAATTATTTAATACTGCCGACCCGTTAATTTCGTCTATACTTTTTCGCTTACAAAGCATTATTTTTTCACCATAAAAACACCACACCCTCGGGAACAGAGAAAATTAGATTTTTTATGTGCGTAGATTTACYGCATAACCCCGAGCAACAAGTTATTAACTTTTAATGTGTATAAATTCGCAATGTTTATTTTTTGGTTTGTTTGGACTCTGGAGATTTTGGTTGTAAAATACTTCAATTGTAGAAGTTTTGATTCTAGTCAGCAGTTAATAAAAAAAGTGATWCTATACTTACCAGACTGTCCTGCAGACTTCAGTATAATGTCGTAAGTTAATTTTAAGGAGATTAAAAATGATTTYCTTACTCCTCTATTACTATAACTACACAATGCCCGGAATCGAGTTACACAAGCAGCTAGTTCTAAGTATAAAATATCATTCATCACTTATACTCTAAATATTAAGATAAGAATATTATGAATATAATCTATTATAGTTTATATTAAAAATATCTATATATTGATGATAATAATATTCATCGTATTCAACTATAGAATGTAGACAGAATTTATTTTAGTACAAGTTTTGTGTTATGAAATTAAACTCCACATAGAATAAATTATATTTAGGTCAGTAAGTTGCTTATTGAAAAATATTCGATAATAGATCTCGATTAAATTTGGTGAAAGGATGTTAAATATGTAGGTAGTTACCACATTACCGCATTACCGTAGACGATTATGTTGTGGCCACCTTATAAATTGTATCTATATTTGACTATGTGTAATTATTATGGGTATGTTAATTTTGTAAATCTAATTTAAGTGAAAATTCCA